CAAAATTGGTTATAGAAAAAAAATTATTTCAAGAAAAAGTCCGATTTTGTGTCAAAATACCATATGTTAGAATAGTGCTATATATAAATCTAATATATATCTAAGTCGCGCTTTCGAGACATGAAGAACGCAATTTGAATTTTGTCAATCGGCCCAGTAGATCGGGAGATATAGGACTGTCCCATTTTTTTTTTGAGCAGTGTACATACATGTTATGCTTCTATATAAGTTATCTCTTTGACATAATTTACAGTTGCTTATTGTTCTACAAGCGGTAGGGTTCTTGTTTAATCCAGGCACCCTTGTGCTACACCATTTTCTTTTGTATCGTATTAATTTGAAGTTTCTGTACGATTTGGAAAGAGAGGGAAAAAGAGTATTACTTGACTGGTGTATAAAAGAAGGTTTACTTAGTAGCCATTATTAAGTGCCCTGTTTCTAAGAAGGAAATGCATATGGTTGGATAACACAGTGCTACGGAGGATATTTTTTACTCTTACTTTGTGAATTTATATGGCGATGCCAGTAAACAGATTATAGTTCAGATAATTTTAGGAAGTTTTTGGATGCTGTTAAGGAATTTTGTTTGATTGAAGACGTGTTAATTCGTAAGTGAGGTAAGAGGATATTTCCTTTGTGTAGAGCAAAGATAAATTCCCTTTGTTATGTTATTTCATTGTTTGATTTAAAATGTAGTTTACTGAGATTATGTTTTTTTTTTTTGGCTGCTCCTTTGACTTTTTAAGTAAATATAGTTCGATGTGTACATGAACAAAGTCAAGGGAGTGCGCAATGCCTAGTTTGTGGCAATTATCTATGATTTTTTTCAAGTAAAAATAGGTCGATGTGTACATACGGATAAAGTCAAGGAAGTACGCAATGCCAAGTTTGTGCAATTCTGGGATTTTTTTAAAGTGAAAATAGGTTGATGTGTACATGGATACCAAGTTTGTACAATTCTTTGTCTTGTTATTTTGGCTTTGTTTATTCAAAAATCAGCACTACACGAGCCAAAATCACAAGTCAAGGAATTGCACATGCTCGATATCCATGTACCACCAAGTTTCACCAAGGGGTACCCGTAAATATACTTACATAAAAAATTTAATATAAATTTGTATTTATTTTTTATCTACTATAGTATAGTAAGCAATTTATTTAAAATGAACAGCATATATAGTGGTGTATTTAATTACGGCAAAGCACACTAGGGCCATCTGCCAAAGGGGAGGGATGCCTTTCGTGGAGGACTTTCTAAGGAAAACTGGCTCGTATACATGTTACACATGGGGAAAACCACGAAAACACCCATGCAGCCAGCCCGTTCGCGGGATTCGAACCTCGGACCGAACTAGTGTTCAGCGACTTTACCGCACGGCCGCTGGTGGGCCTGAACAGCATATATAAGTGACGCAACTTTAGACTAGTTAATGAAAAATAGATGACTATGGCAATGAGAAATTTGCCGAGGTAGAAAACATCCTCAAAAGCAAAAAAGTTATCAACAGTTTAAGAATATACTTCTCAGTGAGCAGCTGAAATAACAGTTTATGGATTTAGATCAAAATCTTAAAAACTGCATGCAAATTCAGTGAATAATGAATGCTACAAGGAGGAAAAGTATGCAAGAAAGAGTAAATAAAAACATGTCCAAAGCACCTTAGAAATGATTACTTTCAGTAAGTTTCTGGCCAAAAAATTGTACCCCTAAAAATATTCATATTTCTTATTGTTTCATTTTCTTTTCTTTAGATAAGCAATTAAAAAGAAACAAAGAGAAAGACAGAGAGAACGGGAAAGAATTTAGGAAAAATTATAATATTTTTTCCTGAAAATTTATATTAGATTTAACACTCTTTCATTTAGCGGAACATTCTATCCATATAAATTAAGGGCTAATCTTTGGAATATGGTAACAGGTAATTTGGCGACATTTTGGTAAAGCAATAAACATTACTAGCTAGAACTTTACCAGTGTACATGGATAAAGTCAAGACTACGCGCAATGCCATTTTTGTGCAATTCTGGGATGTTTTTTTAAGTGAAAATAGGTCGATTGATGTGTACACGGACAAATTTAAGGCAGTGCGCAATGCCTAGTTTGTGCAATTCTAGGATTTTTTTTTTAAGTGAAAACCAGATTGATGTGTACATGGGCACAAAGTTTGTGAAATTCTTTGACTTCTTATTTTGGTTTTGTATAGCGGTCATCTTGAGATTGTGCCTTCCTGGCGTCGATCTTGGCATCAAAAAAGAATCGCCAAAAAACAAGGGGCACCCTATTGTAAACTTTTACCCAAGTTATTATTAAAGGATAAGTAATTTTCACTCTTCACTCCTAATTATAACTTCCTTTAAATCAGATTCAAATAAACTACCTGACAGTAGCTGTTGAATTTGAAAAGTTACTATAACAATGCTATATAACAAATATAAATTCAATATGCTATATAACAAATATGTACAAATTCAGTTCTGTAAATGCTATTCTGCATATGAGTTTTGTTAGAATTTTACCTGTGTTTGTTGTATTTTAACGAAATAAAGTAAATTGTATACTCTGATGAGTTCGTATGAAATCCAAATTAAACTTGTGCATAATTCCACTTTATGATAGACATGTAAGTACATATACTCTTTTGAAATCGATGCACTTCTGTATACCTGATTTCGTGCTTAATACTTAATTTGGTTAATCTTTAGATTATGGTAACTTGGCGATTTTTTGGCGACAAACCCTGCTACAGCAACCTACTAGTTTTTGTTTGGATGCCATTTTGTTTTCACGAAGTAAAGGCATGTTTTCTTTTTTTTTTTCCTACTCAACATTTTTTTTCCAACAATCTGCTAGCCGAATTATGCTTATGCTAGAACTTTTATGGAACAAAAGTGCTTAATCATGACGAAGATAAGGTGCAAAATTGGGAGAATGTGCAGAATCGCAAACTGCTTGCCGCGTTTTTAAGAATTGCACATGCATGGTACCCATGTACACGTTGACTTATTTTCACTTAAAGAAATGGAAGCACTTCCGCAGAGAACCCGGTAAATGTAAACATCGCCAACTTTGGCGATAATAGTTCAAAACCTGGTAACCTAGCTAATTCATCCTATTTGTTTCTACGAAGGTTGTTGTTGTTGTTCGCATTTGGAGATTTATATTATTCTTCTCTTATTTATTGTTATTTTTTCTGAGTTTTTTAACAACGAATAGATAGAAATATTTTCGCATAATTAAAGAAGTTTTTGTTGAAAGATGCCGGTTCTCGGCTCGTCAGTTCGGGATCAAAGGAAGAAAATATGGCGGGAGGGGTGAATGCTGATTTGTAACATGCTGTTCACATTATGTTCTTAATTATTAACAGCTGTAAGCAGGCAGAACCATGACGTTTCCAAATCCTAAAATAATTTTTAAATGTATAAAGTTCTAGTTTTATTAACAATGCTACTGAAAAAAATTTGATTACTGTTGAAGGTTATTTGTATTGTGAAATATATTATGAAAAAGGACAGGTATTTGTTTCAACGTAAAATGCTTTAAGCAAGTAACTTGAAAACAAATACTGAAAACTATGTAAAATGGATGTATTAAAGGTCATGCATTCATTAATTTATTACATGGGCATGGCTCTTACCGAAATACATCAATCAACAGGCAAAGTACTTGATAATGAAAAATGGGTACTTTTCCATTTCGCCGGCGCAAATCTCGCCAAGCAGACTTGGCGACAACATACAGTATACACATAAAAAATATTCAAAAAATTTTAGTTCTAAGAATTCTTTTTTTGAAGGCATAAACAACGAAAATCTAATGCTCTCAGTAATTATTTACATTAATTTCAAGTTAAATCTAATTTGGGAACACAAGTTTAAATGCAAGAAATATTTCACTGCATACGAATAGCTTACTCAGAAATTATGTAAAACTGCAGTGCTTTACTTCACTAATGCATTCTCATTAGAATTGATGAATTTAACCCTTGACTTTCCTTTTCTATATTTTCAGCTTCGGGTAAGAGCTGTGATTGCATCCTAATTGACTTAATAACCGAAAATGGCCTTAGACATAAAACTGAATTATCTGATAAAAATTATATGCCAGTATTGAAAGAAACAATCAATCTGGTAAGAAATGGTTGCGACTTGTTTTGAAAATGAGGCGTAAAAGGTTACCAGCGAGAATATTCCATCTGTCATCGGTTGTACCATTATTGGCGACTTTATTGCTTGCGCCGGCAAAACGGAAAAGTACCGAAAAATGACACTTGTAATAGAAATATTAGTATTCTATATGAATTAGAGAAAATACATTTATATGTATAATGTAAACGTAAGTATAAGAATACTAATATTTATTTTTTAAATGAATTTCTACTTCCCGTTATGCTTAATACATTGTTTTATGTGCTAACTTGAATTTAATACAAATTTATTTTCGTATATCACGTTTAACCTGTTAGTTTTACATCTACATACTTATTATCTGTGAATTTTTACTACCATTGTCTGCTAACTTGAATTTACATACACTAAAAACCACGTTTACAAAATATCACGTTTACAGCTCGCCTCATCCTGAGCTTGGCGAGTAAAAATGCAACGGCGCCAACGGGTTCTCTGCGGATGAAAACCCAAAAAAACATCCCAGAATTGCACAAAAATGGCATTGCGCATAGTCTTGACTATATCTATGTACACTGCTAAAGTTCTAGCTAGTAACCTTTATCGCCTTACCAAAATGTCGCCAAACTACCTGTTACCATATTCCAAAGATTAGCCATCTATTTTCATTTAATAAAATCAGGAAGCTAAAACAAAGTTAAAACTATCATGGTAAACAGAACTGAGGTTTCATCGCAAAATTTAAAAAAAGTTGTCGCTAACCGAAGGGGCACCCAATTCTACACTAGAACAATAACCTATTCCCCAAATTAAACCATTATTGGTAAAATTGCATTTAAAAAAAGGAAAGAAAAGAAAAACTATGATATACTGACCCTGAGCACGTAAAATGGCTGATTTTCCACGACCACTAGCAGTGGCACTTGTTCTAGGTCCAGTTTTCTTAAACATTGGTGCATTTTTTAGCATGTCTGGTAGTATTAAAAACCGTATTTTGCTTCCTCTGATATAGATATTTTCTAACTGTGCAACTCGGCCGTCTCGGTATGTCACTGTGATTCCAGACATCTGACAATTCATATTATCTTCTGCTTCTACAAGTTTACCACGATACACTTCGCCCGTATTGGTCTCAAGAGTAACTATATGACCTTCTGCCTCGTGAAGAACTTTGACTGGCACCCCTAATGACATGTTCGTTCCTCTAAAAAAAGTGTAATTTATATGATACAAAGCAAAGAGATCTCTGCCTCAGAACCTAAAATCACGTTGTTTAAGCTACAGAAAATGAATTCGAACCTACAAACACTTCTTAAAACGTTATGCTGTTGCCAACCACGAAAGAATTATTTACAGGAAATTTTGGTCAGGAGGCTCAGCTCTGTTTTCAGGAGGTTGCTTCTGTTCCCTCATCCAAGATATTTTTATAAAAATCGCTTTAAAAAATAAAAGGAAATCGTGGTTATTATCTATAAATCTAAAATTTATCTTTTAAATTAAATATGAATATAAAAATATGAAATCATTCGACTGATGAGAAAATGCAGAATTGCTTTATAAGATGCCTTCTTTATTAGTATCATAAAGTTTTGCTTATTATTTAAAATTTTTAATAAAAATATTTTTAATTTGAAAAATGAAAATTGCTGCTGGCTGAAAAATATGATAAAACCTGTATAAACTCGCGCAGTGTGCCAAAAAATATCTTTTAATGTTGGTGACGATCTTTGCGCGGTTTAAATTAACTTAATAAATGAGTAACTGTGAAGAGTTATAATGTTTACAAGGTGGGATGATAGGTGTAATTTTATTCGAAACGCGTAATAAATATAGTCTCTCGCATTAGGAGAGACATTTACACATGGCAAGGAAAGGAGCAAATTGTAAAAGAAAATTTCCATTTAAAACTATAGATAAAATATTAACAACAGATTGTGATGTACCGTGGGTCGTAAAATTCGCACCTGAAACACTTGTACGTAAAATCAATTTTTAAAAGCTGCATAAATCTTATTTTAAAGAGTTTTTATTATTGTCTTATGTTGATTTTTATATCACACTTTAACAATCAACGTAAGAGTGTAATAAAAACAAGACCTCTATTTTTTTAAGCATATTTCTTCAGTGCTCGAGATTCGGTATTAACATTATTACTGAAATATTAACGCGTATAAAGTAATAACCACAGAAATTTTGTGTGTAACGTTTTATCTCTTCAACCCCTGAATTGTAACACTTTTTGTCTAATGAAACCTAAATTAGAGTTTCCTTAATGTATTTTAAATATTTGCAGGAGGATCTAGCTGTACATAAGAAGAAAGTGGCAGAAGTTGAAACCTGGTTTCAAGATTTTTTCTCCCAACATGAATCTTTCAAAGTAATTAATAAATACCAATCGAAAAAATTGGTACTTTTTCCTCCCTAGTACTATAATACTTAAAAAATATATTTCATCATTCTTCTCCCCCCCCCCATAATTATGAGTAAAATTAATCATAAAACTTTAATCTTTCAATCCCAGTGTAAAAACTATATCCTTAGATATAGCGAAAAATGCAAATTTGAATATTTTTTTTTAAGTGTTTTCTTTTTAGATTCAAGAAAGTTTTGAGCATTGCTATATATAGTAACTTTTCAAATTCAACTGCTACTGTCAGGTAATTTATTTGAATCTGATTTAAAGGAAATAATAATGTAGACAAACTGTTTGATATTTAAGCATTTAGTTTGGTGAAAAAGAAATGCATATTTATCAATACTATTTGCAGGTGTCATTTTTGAAAACTTATGTTTGGCAAAAATATCTTTACATGTGCCCCTTGGCAAAAATTGGCAAGTTTTGGAGGTACATGGACACCAAGTTATTTTGGTTTTATGATTTTTGTGCCTTAAATTGCCACTACACAAAGTTAAAGTAACAATAAAAGAATTGCACAAGCTTGGTATCCATGTACACATTAACCTATCTTCACTTAAAAAAGCATCAGAGAATTGCACAAACTTAGCATTGCATACCCCCTTGGCTTTGTCCATGTACATATCGATCTGTTTTCACTTGAAAAGTCGGCCGAGCGGTAAAGTCGCTGAACACTGGTAGTTCAGTCTGAGGTTCAAATTCCACGAGCAGGCTGGCTGCATAGGCGTTTTCGTTATTTTCCTCATGTGTAACGTGTATACGAGCCAATTTCTCTTAGAAAGTCCTCCAGGAAGGCATTCCTTCCCTTAGGCAGATAGCCCTAGTGTGCTTTGCCATAGTTAAATAAACCAAATCTAAACCATCACTTGAAAAGTCAGAGGAACAGCCAATCTACACTAGAGCTAAACAAAAAATATATAATCTCAATAAGCCATGTTTCGAATCAAACAATGAAATAAAAAGGAAATTTATGTTACAGCATCTAAGCACTACACAAATGAAATATCCACTTACCTCATTTAGAAATTTCTGTGTCTTCAGTCAAACAAAATTCCTTAACAGCATCCAACAGCTTCTTAAAATTATCTTAACTAGCATCTGTTTATTGGCGTCACCATATAAATTCATAAAAATATCCTCCATAGTGCCAGTATCCTCTGACCTTGGACCATATGCATTTCCTTTGTACAAACAGGAAATTTATAAGGGCTACTAAATAAACCTTCATTTACACAAATCAATTAATGCTTTTTTTCCCCTTTCATTTCAAATCGTACAGAAAATTTAAATTAATCTTGCCACATTCACCCATTTTACTGTATAAACCACAAAATAAGCAACGTACTTTCTAACCAACACACAAACAAGCCCTTAGAAATCTTTTCCCCATCAGTCAAATTCATTGCAGTCATGCAACCAATTATGTCAGAATAGAGTTTCCATAATATTGAACTATTCGTGTTGCCGTAAATGAAACTTAACGATAATCCAAGGGCATCCTTAAATATAGTCTAACCCTTATATTAAAGTCCTCTCAGTGAAAAAAATCAAGAGAGATATCTAATGCAGAAAATAAACTCTGCATTATTATTATTATTGCAGTTGATTTGTATATTTCCTAGCATACTTTCCAATCGTTCATTTAAGTTTAAAGAAATTATCATTGCTTTTTTCTAATGTGGTAAGATGAAAGCTTAAAATTACTTTCCTAAAATCTTTATAAGCATGAAATTGATATTAGTTATCTGTGTTAAAAATTTCAGTATTTTTCGTGCAGAAAATTTCAAATAGAAGTAAGATATTTTTTAGTTTTGTAAATGCATCTCTTAATTAGCAAGTACTAGTAAATGTGGACAGGACATCATAATTTCTAACTGTGCAGCTCCATCTGAATTTTGATGGTTCCCTGGGAATGGATCTAAGGAACTCTCATCTTCCCTACCACTAAACCCCTTAGGATTTTTGGCACATCTGTATTTTAAGGATCTTCTAGCCATACAGACCCTATACTAGTGGTTTTTAACCTTTACTGCCCATGCACTTCTTTCAGCATTGCCAGAAGATCATTCTCCACTCTTTTTTAATATTGAAAAATGCATATAAGTTTATTTAGATTTAGATTATTTTCTAATGTCTTCTAAAAATCAGAAAGTATCGGAAATTTCTCCCTTTAAACTGTTTCATTTTTAGAGTTCCAAATTATGGCTGAATAAGTCAACACAGTGTTTTTGTAAATACAAAGTAAGCTTTCTTGTCCACTTAGTTTGTCCACTTTCTTTTCTAAGAAGTGTAAATTCATGATATGAAAAGTTTGCATTTTTATTAAACTAAACTTGTCTTTGAAGTCATATATACAGAACCTTAAAGATGAAAAATCTTATTAGTTAATTGATAATTCTCTTGTCATCTGACTACAGATCTATCAGTATATGCATTGATACAGTCTTTACTCATGTTATCAGAAGGCAAAAGTTTCAGATTTCACCAGTTTTCACTTGATATAAACAAAGTTAGGAAAAAATATATTTCAGGGTATTATTAAAATATATTTCCCTTAGCGAAAATTGGCAATATTTTTTTAGCGCCATTCTTTTTTATGTGCAGTGCCTCCCCAAGTAAGATGGTGTCCAAAACATAACACAATAAAACATAATACATTAAAAATTTATAATCTCAATAAACTGCATTTTAAATCAAAATAAAACAAGGAAAATGCATAAAAACAGAAATACATGTTATCTAATCTGCACAGTAAAAAAAAAGGGAAATATTGACTCGCCTTATTTAAAAATTTCTGTGTCCTTGGTGAGGGGCAATTCTTAACAGCACCCAAAAACTGCTTAAAATTATCTGAACTAGAATCTGTATACTGCCGTCACTACATAAATTCACAAAAGTAAGAATCAAAATTATCCTCCGTAGTGCTGGACTGTTGGTGGCATTTCTTTGGAAAATCCCTTTTTATTACATCCCACATACTTTCGATAGTATCACAGGTGCAAAGCACAAAATAAGCAATGTACTTCCTAACTGACATCCAATGCAGAAATAAGCCCTGAGATATATTCAACAATGAAAATCAGCATCATGCATTGCAACCAATCATGTGATGATAGAGTTTCCAAAACATACACTGTAAAATACTCAGGTTATCATAAATGAAACAACAACTTGGCAATAAATGGAATAACAATTATGCGTTAATCTAAAGGGTACCCCAAAATATAGACTACCCTAAGATTATATCTAATTAATGAATTAAAACAATCCATATGCACATTTAAATACATAATACTGTGCATGTATATCTTCTGCCTGTTATATCCTTATTTATATGAAATTGCTCTGTTTTCATAGTATTTAATTTTGGTTTTAGAAATTTTAATTTTCTGTAATTAAAAATGTTTTTCCTTTCTTTTATATAAATACTGTCATTATTTTAGTTGTTTAATATCTGTGATTTTGCATTAAATAATTTCACAAATATATAATAATTATATATATATTGTATATAATATATAATAATTTCAGAAAGCTCCAATTTTGCTGTTGACTGGTCCTCCAGGTGCTGGAAAAACAACAACAATCAAAATCATTTCTAAAAAATTAAATGCTGAATTATTTACTTGGTCAAACTCTAAGCAAGAAAATTCTAAGGCTATTGCTTTTAATGGTAATATGACATCTTTAGTATTTCTTTTTCTTCTTATTGTATCACTAAAATTTGTATCTCCTTCTTAAAGCAACTATGGCATAAGCCTTTGGTGACGTTTAAAATTTGCGTATTACAAATTGGACAGTTAAGTATGCCAATTTTTAAAACTAAGTATGATGAACACTTTAACAAGAAAGTACCATAGAATTGTACGAGGACCAAAAAATTTATTCTTACAATAGCATAATTGCAACAGTATACACATTATATGTGTATTGCATATTTATTTCACATCTGTCAAATTAAACTTTTGTTTTTATGTTATAAATATTTTTTAAATTCAACTGAAATAGTATGATGACAATTTTGAAAATTAAAGACATTATTTATTTAATAATTTATTGTTTCCATATTATGAAGTTTAATCTAACTATTTAAAATTTTTATAAAATACTGAACTATTAAAATTGCCTTTAACTTTCTTATTTTAAACTTGAAATTTTTTAATTTGAAGAAATAATATTGTAGAGGTTTGTGATGAGCACTTGTGTGGATTTTCAGGTATTCAACACAGCTAACTGCACATTTATCTTTAATGTATACACCAACTATCTCATGTATGTACATTATATTTATTATTTTCATACTTGATTGTTACCTCTTCCCTGTAGCATAACATATTCATACATACTTTACTTATATTGACACCATCTCATAATCAGAATACATTATGTGCATTTTCCATTGAATGAGCATAATGAGAGAGCAATAAAATATCAACATTAAATAAGATACAAAGTGTATGAAAAATAAATACAATATATGAATGTGAATTGTATGGATTTAAAATAATTCTTGTATAAATGTGAAGTAATATTTTTTTTTTTTTTTAATTTTAGTGTATTCTGTGCATAGGCAACTGGATTAATATTGCTACTAAAATCTTATAAATACTGCTAGAATTTAATTTCTATATTTATAAGAAGAAAATTTATCCATTCTTTATCATCTCGTTACTGTGTTTTCTATTTTTAATGCTCTTTAACATACTATTTTTAAGAATTCATCCCTATTTGCTCTCAGTGTAAACAAGCTTAATAGTTGTGTGAAATATAAACAAATCAGCTACAAGGTGCATTGAAGGTGGAACTGTCTGAAAAATTGAAGATAAATAAATTCTTTATATATCTTAATGGCAGAAATTCAAAAACTAATGGAACTTACATTAAAAAATAATACAATAAAACCCCGCTTAATGTGGAGATTATGTTCCATCAAAATAGAGCATTATATGAATAGCATTAAACAAGGTCATCTCATCATGTAAATAATGGGGTTAGGGGAAAACTGGTATAAAATTTTAAAGAAATTACCGTATTTGACGGCATATAAGACGCACCCTTATTTAGAAGGACACACACATGTAGATGTAGAAAAAGTTGTGTGTCTAGACCTTTATCCGGGCTAAAAATAGCATTCAGTATTGAAAGTTAACCTGTGTCCTTCACGTATAAGACGCAGGTAACTTTTTTTTAAACCAAATTTAGGAAAAAAAGTGCGTCTTATATGCCGTCAAATACAGTAAGTATTTATTTACTTAAGTTTATAAAATATGTTTTTTATAACAATACAAAATAAAAACTTATTTCTTACAAATATTGAAACATAACAAATGAATATATAGAAATAAATAAAATTTTAAGTCACCATTTATATTTTAGATCATTCAGATTTTTTTTTTTTTTTTTTTTTTTTTTTTTTTTTGTCAAGAAGGTATCTAATGTCATTTGCATCTTTTGTGCTCCATAAGAAGTTGTCGATAAGGTGACAAGGCATACATGACACCCCGTCTTGCCTTTGAACTCCTATGAAAATTTGTGTCATTTTCAATAAATAAACCCATAATTTCTGTTATGGAAGCTAAACTAGCTTTTAGAAATGCTGTTTAAATTTTTTGCTCTTCTTCAGAATCACTATTTTTAATAGTTTTTGTGTTCTTCCTGATCCGCTAATTCCTTGAGCTCATCATTAGAAAGACTTTCTGCTGTTTCTTGCAAAATTTCTTTGAGAACTTCCACATTTACTTAACCACATTACTTCCACTATTTCATTCATATCAATAACAGAATCTCTAGTGTCATCATCCTTGTTTAATTCTAGCCAATGTTTTTCCACACTCCTTTCAAACATTTTTCTGTTACATCATTCCAAGAAAGATTTATATTTTCTGTAGCATCCATGATATAATATTTTCTCCAAAAATCTCTTATTGATTGTTTATCATCTCCATCTGTTTTTTCAAACATTTCCCTAAATGTTCACTGCAGTTAATAAGCTTTAAAATCTGAAAAAAAACCTTGATCCATCGGTTGAGTTAATGCAGTTGGGTTAGGTGGCAAGAAAACCATTTTGACTGGAATGCATGTTATTAAGACAGATAAATTCATTGGGTGGCTTGGAGCATTATCCATTAAATGTAATGCTTTTGATTCAAGGTTTTTTTTTTTTTTTTTTTCTTCTTTTTTTATTTTGCAATAGCTTTTAAGAGGCAAGCAAAACTGTTCAGTGAACTAATTCTGGCATTTCATAGTTATCCATGATTTTTATTAGACTCCCAAATTGCAGGTAAAGTTGATTTTGATATTCCTTTCATTTCTGTTGGGGTTTTGGAATGATAAACAAGAAATAGCTTTAATTTGAAGTCTCCAATGGCATTAGCACCCAGGAGAAGGATTAAGCAATTTTTTGAAGCTTTAAATCCTCATGCATGTTTTTCTTCACAGAGTAGAAATGTATGTTTTGGTATTCTTTTCCAAAATAGGCCCGGTTCATCGACATTAAAAACAGGGCTGTGGAGTTGGAATCGGAGTCGGGTAGATTTTTGGGTAAAAAGAGTCGGAGTGGGGGGTCGCTAAAAAATGCATCAACTCCAACTCCAGTTTTTGTTAAACAGTTTGAATTTGAAATGAAATTAAAGTAAATTGAAAAAAAATTAATGACAAACTGAGTTAATATTTTTATTTATGGACTATATACATTAATAAATAGTTATTTTCTATTTTATTGACATATCAGTAAATAAATATAAGGAAGCAGGATGGATGTGATATTTGTCATTATTGATTAAACTGATTCATTTAGTTACTAATCTCATTGATGAATTGAGGTAAGCAGCAAGAACTCCCAAAATTGATGCCATTCTTAAGAAGCGAGCAGGAAAAGGAGCAACACAATGGAGAAGTACATATTTGATGATATAGTGGTTGTTAAAATTAAGAACTTTTTCAGAAGATGTAAATAACCCTAATATTTCACTAACATAAAGACTGTGGAATGATCTTGCAGAACTGGAAATCCTTCTTTCAACACCATATATAGCCACAAAAAAAAAAAAAAAAAAAAAAAAAAAAAAAAAAAAAAAAAAAAATAAAAAAAAAAAAAAAAAAAAAAAGAAAAAAAAAAAAAAAAAAAAGGATAGAATGTTAAGATTAGTTTAATGTTTCACTAACAGAAAGCATGTGGAATTATCTTGCAGAATTGGAAATTCTTCTTTCTATACCATATATAGCCACCAAAAAGCTACAATCTGAAGAATTCACAAGAGGCAAGACTGGAAGAATGCAATGTCTGTTCTTTCTGAAATGGAAGGTTTATTGCAGAAGGAATCATTTTTTCAATGAAGAAAAGAGAAACTAGTTTGCTAGACAATGAAATCTTGCTGGGTTCGATATATGTAGATCCAAAATGCTGAATTTTGTTGGATGACAAACAAATTAAAAAAGCAAAGAAAGCCATCTATGAATTTTCATTACGAATGAAATTATTCTTAGAGCAACTGGAGTATTCAAATCAGGACAGTCAAACTGCAGATATTGCAACTGAGTCTGTATCATCTTCTTCCACTGATGAATTAGATTTTGAGAAATATTTGGATAATATTGAAAAGGCTAAGGCAAAGCGAATGAAAATAAAGAATCAAGAGCCTTTAGATATAAAAATGAAAAAATACAAACAAGATTTATGCACGGCCTTTGAAGAAATAATAGGGGGACCGGAAAGTAATGTTATTTCTGTGCATGTCGTCAACAACATGCTAAGGGCAGAAGTGGAAGCAAATCCATGTCAAACACTCTTAACCAACCTTGGTCGACCATCCAAGAACATTTAAAGCAGAAGGGAAAAATAAGCAAAGCAGGTGTTTGAGTCCCCCATAATCTGTCCGAAGACAACAAAGCCAACCGATCCATTACATGCAATGTATTGCTTCAATAGGACCATACAGAACTGTGTTTTGATCATTTAATTAGTGGACATAAAAAAATAAGTCCTATAAGATAATCCAAAACTCAAAAAGAAGTTTTAATAGGGGTTACAAAGGGTTTACATCCTGAAAAGGCGCTTCTGTGTGTTTGATGGAGTATTCGTGGAATTGTTCATTTTGAATTGCTGAAACCTGGACAAACTGTTAATGCAGTTTGTCCAGGTTTATTTATTGTGAGCAATTGGATGGAGTGAACGAATCCTTAATCGAAAAATATCAATTGTCAACAGAAAAGGCGTCATTCTGCAACACGACAATGCAAGACCACATTGTGCAAGAAGAACACTGGAAAAAATTAATGAATTGTGGTTGGAGGTACTGCCATACTCACCCACCATACTTGGTCAATATCACAGCATTGGATTTCCATTTATTCGGATCCCTACAACATTTTCTTAGTGGCAAAAAATTTGAAAATTTGGATGATGTCCAAAATGTCCTCTCGAGATATTTTACTCAAAAACCAATTAATTTTTATCGGTCCGGGATTGAAAATCTGGACATTAGAGGGCAAAAGGTTGTTGATAACGAGGGTGATTATATTATTGATTAAAAATAAAAACTTGTTAAAAATGTATTCATTTGAATTTAATGTCAGAAAGCGAGATTACTTTCTGGTCCCCCTAATAGATAAATATGATTGCTCTTGCAAGACACCTCTTTTAGAACTTACAAAACTCTAACCTGAAAAGTTAAA